CTTTCAAGTATTGCTGCCCCTTGGGAATTAGGACCCAAGGGGACAACATTTGAGCAATGGAAAAAAGACCGAAGTAGGCCAAGAGGCAGTCCGAGTTGGTACCAACCACTCGGACTGCATGTACTTGGCCAAAATGAGGCCTAGGTACCTCCAGAAGGGCCTAGTGGAGGAATTTGGCCTTGGGGGTACCTCGGTTCACCCCAAGGCACTTGGAGAGGCTCATGGGCTGGCCGGACTGCTGGTTTCAACCTACGTAAGCTGAGGATGCAGTCCGCCACTCTCACATTTGCATGAGGAGAACCCATGCTGCCCAAGTGAGCTCACAAGAGCACCTTTGCACTTGGAGTGAGGAGGGAGGAGCCCATGCTAGTGGGAGAGCTTAGAGGAGACACAGAGGTAGTGGGGAGGACTCTAGAGGATAGTGATGGTGGGAGAGACACTTGGGAGGTGATCCGCCATATCCCCCATGGGTGGAGGAGAGAAGGAGAGGCTAAAGGACCCTCATTTACCCTCCTAGAGGGGAGGACTCCATAGCCATAGCTGAGAAAGCTTCCCATAGCCTGGTAGAGAGTAAGGAAGGAGGAGAAAGGGGCTTGGAGAAGAAGGAAGCCATAGCCAAGGGGGGATTGTGCAAGGAGTGGAAGCTTCATCAAGAAGACACCAGCATCAAGGAATCAACAAGCTGAGAGGAAGGAAGAGACTTCTTCTTCTTCTTCTTCTTCTTCTCCTTCTTCTCCTGCTTCTCCTTCTCCTTCTTCTTCTTCCTCTCCTTCTTTTTCTTCTTCTTTTTCTTCCTTCTCACTCCCTCCTTCTTCTTTCTCTTCTTCCCCTTAATCTTCACCTTCCTCGTCTTCACTTCCATTCTCTTTGTTTTCTTCCTCTTCTTCTCCATCTTCATCTCCCTCATTTATTTCCCCTTCTCCTCCATCTTCTTTTACTTCATCTTCTCTCTTCCATGGGCTACTCAAACTCTCCTCTTTCACTTACACACTAGGAGGTAGTACTCTGATTCTTTCCTAGATGCTTCTTGATGCAATCTTGGTGATTTGGGCTCTCCAAACTTGTGTTTTGCACTCTCAATTTAGTAGGTAGTATAGCGCTTCACTCATGGATGCTTCTTGATACAATCTTGGTGATTTGGGTTCTCCAAACTTGTGTTTTTCACTCGTACACTAGTAGGTAGTATAGCGCTACATTCATGGATGCTTCTTGATGCAATCTTGGTGATTTGGGCTCTCCAAACTTGTGTTTTTCACTCACACACTAGTAGGTAGTATAGCGCTACATTCATGGATGCTTCTTGATGCAATCTTTGTGATTTGGGCTCTCCAAACCTGTGTTTTTCACTCTCACACCAGTAGGTAGTATAGCGCTACATTCATGGATGCTTCTTAATGCAATCTTGGTGATTTGGGCTCTCCAAACTTGTGATTTTCACTCATACACTAGTAGGTAGTATAACGCTACACCCATGAATGATCCATGATACAATCTTGGTGATATTGGCTCTCCAAGCTTCGGGGTGTCGACCAGAAGTCTTGTTCAGTTTAATGTCATAGATTTGAGAGGTAAAGTCCTTCCAATCTTTGCTGATGAATCTGGTGTCCCGATCACTCACAATAGTTTTCGGGACGCCAAACTGCAGAATGTACTGCTGATGGAATTCTTCGATGACAAGTTCAGTTGGGGCATGGGGAGGGAAAGGAATCAGATTCAAAAATTTGGAGAAACGATCCACTATGACCATGACTTGTGAATTCCCTGCTTCACTCACCTTTCCCATGTCCGTGAAGTCGATGGAAATCGATTCACCGGGTCCATCGGGAATGGGGAGGGGTCTTAGCAGGCCATAAGGCTTATGCCTGTGGACCTTGGTTCTTTGACATACTTGACATTTAACAATAAATTTCTGAGCAGATCCTTTCATCCTTGGCCAATCAAACTGTTGAATAAGACTTCCATAAGTCTTCTCAAAGCCGAAATGTCCACTCCGACCATGTGCCAAATCCAGGAAATGAGTCCGGAGAGGCGCATGGTTGGGAACACACAAACGATCAAACTTTCCGTACCGGCGGAATACAAGACCCTCGCATTCGTGAAAATCAGGCTGACTTTTGGGGTCAGCCTTGAGCTGCTCAAGGATGGGACCGAGGTCCGGATCCTTGGCGGTGTGTTCGACTAGATCCTCCTTCAGTATCCTTCGGAGGTCATACGAACCCACAAGGCAAGTCAAAAATTCAGGATGGCGAGACAGCGCATCAGCAACCCGGTTATAACAGCCTTTCTTGTGTTTCAATTCAAAGCTATAGACATCAATATCGTGCAACCAGCGGGTCAATGTAGGAGAGAGTTCAGTTTGTGTCTGAATCCACTGCAAGGTCTGATGATCTGAGTAGACCTTGAAGTGGCGACCCAAGAGGTAGTGCTTCCAATGTGCGAGAGCCTCGCGCAGGGCGTAGAGCTCACGCATATATGTGGAAGTAGCTACCCTGTGGCTGGGCATGCGTTTGCTGTAGTACTCGAGCGGACGCAGGCCATCAGCATCATCTTGTTGCAGCACTGCACCAATCCCGAACTGGCTCGCATCCGTAGTGACTACGAAAGTGAGGTTGGGATCGGCAATGCGAAGCACATGATGACTCACCAATACCTCTTTTAAGGCTTGGAACGCAGTCTCATACTTCTCACACCATGCATAGGCAACATTCTTGCTGGTTAGTCTTGAGAGAGGGCGAGCGATGACAGAAAATTTGGGCACAAACTTCCGGTAATATGAGGCCAGACCAAGGAAAGAACGCAGTTCGCGTACGTTTGCCGGTTGAGGCCAATTTCGGATGACCTCAACCTTGGTTGCCTCCGGCTCAGGGCCGTTTGCAGACAACCGGTGTCCAAGATAGATGACGCTGTCCCTCCCAAACTCAGATTTCTCTAAGTTGAGGTGCAGCTGCGCCTCCTTGAGGACCTGCAAAACTTCCTCAAGGTGCTTGAGGTGCTCTTCCATGATTTTGCTAAAGATCAAGATATCGTCTAGGTACACAACCACAAACCTGTTGAGTTGATGGCGAAGTACCTTGTCCATGAGGCACTGAAATGTGGCCGGTGCATTCGTAAGACCGAAGGGCATAACGATGAACTCGTACAACCCATCTCGTGTTTTGAATGCAGTCTTGTGCTGGTTACTCAGATCAACTTCAATCTGGTAGTAGCCAGATTTGAGGTCGATCTTGGAGAAGACCTTGCACCCACCTGCCGCATCTAGCAGGTCATCTATGCGAGGCAAAGGGTAAGCATTCTTTCTTGTGATCCGATTAAGGCCACGATAGTCAATACACATCCGGAGTTTGCCTCCTTTCTTTGGCACAAACAGGACATGTGCACCGAATTCAGACTCACTGGGCCTAATCCATCCACGGTCAATCATATCATCAATCTGCCTTCTCAACTCCTCCAACTTGCCTTGTCCCATATGGTAGACACAGCCCTTTGGAGGAACACTCCCCTATATTATCTCAATTTTGTGTTGGACCGGACGCTCGGGAACTCCACGAGGTTCGGCCAAAACTTCAGGGAATCGATCTAATAGCTGGCGAATGTTTGTTAGGACTTCCGGTGGAGGATCATCCTCATCAGGAGAAAGAAAATTAGTCAGAGAATTTACAGCAATGACAACCGGATTAGAAGTAGAAGGGTTATTCACAGTAGAAGTAGATGGATTAGAAGCAGAGGTGGTAGAAGTAGAGTTACTTACCGAGGTAGAAAACGCAGCAAAAGTAGAAGGTACATGGAGGGGCTTTACAAACGCTACATGTACATGCTTAATCTCCTTGCACCTGCGCACTGATTTGCAGAATTTGGTTGCACTTAGAAGAGTCACAGGGGACTCGCGCGTCTCATCCAATAGGACGGTACGCTCGTTCCCCTTGGCATCACGCACCACGAACTGATTGTCCGCCCACGTGGTGCTTAGGCAATGAGCCTTTAACCAGCCCAAGCCAATGACCGCGTCGAACGGACACTTGTCCATGACATAGAAGTTGAGCTCATGTGTGACAGTGCGGTCCTTGTCAAACACCTTTGACAGCATGTGTAGAGGTGACAACCTCTTGGTTGCCCACCTGGGTCTGACAAGGGTTCTGCAATTCCACTTGCTTCATTCCCAGGCCCGCCTTACGAATCCCGTTAGGAGAAAAGAAATTAGTGGTTGATCCACTGTCAATCAACACGCGGATGTATCGGCGGTTAATGAGCAGTTTAAAGAAGGTTAGCTCCACACTCCCTTGAACACGGCGTTGCTGCTTGAGCTGCAGCCAGTGTTCCATATGAGCGTGGAAGTCAACTTCCTTAGACTCCTCCCAAGGCAGTGTTCCATGTGAGCGTGGAAGTCAACTTCCTTAGACTCCTCCCAAGGCTGTGTGTAAAGCACATGAATTGCAACAGCCTTGGATTCAGCATCGTTTCGGGCTTCAAGAGTGGGTTGTTGATCAGATTCAGGCTCATTAGAGAGGCCTGCAACCGATGTTCCAGCTCCCCTTGTTGTAGGGAGTGCTGATGAGTCCTCTACGCCCTTTGCTTGTTTCCCTGAAGTATGTAACAGTCCTGCACAGCATGCCCAAGCTTCTAACAATGCAGGCATATGCGCAGTTTAGATCTTCTTTCCCATTCCTTTTGACTGATACGGAGGGCTTCCCAAGGCTTGGTTGATGCATCCTCCGGTTTCTCAGGGATCCTTGCATTCTTAGGGAGGTGGACAACAGTTCCCTTACCTGAACCACGGTTAGGCCCCTTGTTTGAAGCAGTCTTTCTGAAAGCATTAAGCTTTTCGTCTTCATTTACGTCGTACTCAATGGCTGATGAGGAACAACCCATATCGGAGTCCGGCTCTAGATCATCATTTAGAGTCAGATCATCCGCATAGGACTGGTCTTCAGCCTCCCGATGATCATGCAGTGCAAGCTGGTTGCTGCTTCCAAACTGCTTGCGTTGTGGTTTCCCACCTGCAGCGGGCGCCTTCTTCCGCCTGGCGAGGTCCTTGGCCTCTAGGTTGACTAGATTCGTCATGAGCTCTCGCCAGGTGGTATGGTCTTTGAGTGCCAATAGGGAGAGGTATTCTTTGGGGGCCACTCCCATGATTTCAAGACACATCGGTCATACCCAGATCCGGAGTAGTGAACAGGTCAGTCAAGTGTTGTTCCAAAGCTTGCAAGGAGGACCTCCATGTCTGACCCTTGAGGGCCTCAAGCTTCAGCCTAGCCTTGAGCGCAACATGCTTGTCTTGGTACCGTGTGAGGAGAAGGTCCTCAAGGGTGCGTACAGGGGTGACCTTCAGCCATTCAGTCAGGTCTATGCGTTCATAGCCTGCAGCAACAGCTTGGAGCTCAATGTGGTTTCGTACGGCGGGCTTAGTATTAGTCCCCATGATCATACTTCGGTCCTCTTGCGGTGTCCGCATGACCTCGAAGTACGATCGCATGGAACTAATCCAAGAGGTGATGTCTGCCTTCCCGTCATACTTGGACGGCAGCGTGGCCGCCCGCTTGTCCACCATGGGACCACTGTACTGAACGCCAGTAAGGACTGTGGCGTTTTGGGCTGATGTCCCTGCATTTGGGACCATGACCAGCGCAAAACTGTCGGTGCTGCCGCTCAAGGAGTTGACACCGGTTCCTGCGCTTGCCACAGTTCCGCTTGCCCTTATCGCGAGGACTGTGTTAGTTTGAGAGACCGGGACTACAGCAGGTAGAGTTAGGAGGAGGGCAGACAGTTGGGACTGTTTGAGGCTGATTATCTCAGCCTGCAGCTCTTGGTTCCGCTGTTCCAACGTTGTTACACGGGACTCAAGATCCTCCAGGTTCCGCAGTTGAACCAAGGCTGCTACGGCAGCAGCTAGCCTCTCCTGGAACCGGTCAGCATTGGCTTCAAGGACCTGTAGGAGGGCCACCTGAGCAGCTATGCTTGTAGCCTTGGCTTTTGCCTCTGCCTCCCTCTCCCTCTGTACGGCATCGTCATACAATTTTTGAAAGAACGGTTTCTGGCTCTTGTCCGCTCCGTCTAGCATGGCCTGCCATTGGGCACATGTGATTTCTGCCATGCCGGAGGAAGGGGGGTTAGTAGGTCTCTCAAGACAGGTCCGCTCTCTCCTGACGTTTGGACGAACACTCCTCTTGCCGCTTCTCATGCTCTCAAACAGAACACCTTCTCTCTCCCTTTCTTCTCTTTTCGTTGTCTGCGCACTCGTCTCGATGCCGGACATAGATAGTTCAGATGAAAGAAACAAACTGAAAGTCACACAGAGAAGAAGGTAGAACTCCTAGCCGGAGCGGCGATTCATTTGGACTTAGAGAATGGCACGCAGCGGAAAAAAAATAAATAAATAAAATAAAAAATAAAACAGAAGAGAGGACTGATTTATAGAACGGGCCCAATTAGATCAGCTGGAGATCCCCTCTTGTCTAACCTGACAAGGGACATGCATCACAATAAATCAGCCGAAGGAAACTAACTGCAGCAATGGAGATTTCGAGGGGTGCAGACGGTCGCCGAGTCAGATGCGGGGCAGTATGTGATAACAGGCGGTAAGACCAGTCAAGATCCCCTTGAAAGGAATGCCCTTGCTTGCCGTATGTCCCCCAAGTTCAGCGCAGCAAAGAAATGCACAGGCGGCAACAAATTTGGGCCCAAAAGGTCCTGTTGCAATCAGACTCGACTTATTCACACGTTGCATGCACGTGAACAGCAGAACAACAAACTGGCGACCTGCGCCCACACAACACTCAAAGATATCGCAACCAGAGAAGAGTTCTCTTGTAATTGGCTATGGCGGTTGTGCGGCCAAACAACTCACTGCTCACACTCTGGATCACCCTAGATGTCCCACTCGCATCACTCTAAACACCCACACAGTACACACACACTGCACTCTATACTAAGCTATGGCAACTATGGTTGCCGCTACCTATCGCTTTGGCTACACTGCTTCACTCTCGCCCACTTCGTCTTCGGGCTTCCTGCAGACCTCCTTGCACAAGACGCTGAAGCAGCGCTTCCGCATGGCTCCCG